TAGTTAATTAATAATATTAATGTACTTATATAATATTTTGATTATAATATATATACAGGCATAATGTATAGATAAAACAGAAGTTGGATGTACCAAAAACATCGCGATAACATTGGAATACGCAGTGAATTTTTTAATGGTGTTGGAGATTTTATTAAATTTGCACAAGAACAGAAGAATTATATGGATGGCGATAAAATCAGATGTCCATGTACAAAGTGTAAAAATCTTGAATTTAAAGATGTTGACCAAGTTGTGTGGGATTTGTACGAAAAACGTTTCGTTGCCAATTATTATAATTGGACTTGTCATGGCGAACCTTTCGATCCATCACTTTTACCACAAACAGTAGGTTCATCTCGTAACGTCCCTACCGAGATGAGTGGATGGAGAGACTATGATCAAATGACGTGGGATCAAAGAATGGCATATGATGTATACGGTGCTTCAACGATTCAGTTTAACCCACCACAGTTATTTAACGATCCTCCCGAAGCTTCGACCTCGTATCAAGCCGATGCGGATGAAGATCCGACCTTTTATCAGCCTGATGCGGATGAGTATCCGAATTCTCATGTTCCTCATATTGAAGACTTAGCTGAAAGATTTCAAGATGTTTTAAAAGCTGCCGATCAGCCTATGTATGCTGATTGTGAGGGATACTCTCAGCTATCCACCGTTACAGAGTTGATGAATATTAAATCTGAATACAGTCTTCCTGAATCTTGCATGTCTAGGTTATTGCAGTCATTTGGAGGAATGTTACCGTGTGACCATAATTTTCCTGATTCATATTACGAAATGAAACAATTAATGTCTCAGTTGGGGCTTCCTTGTATAGAAATTGATGCGTGCCCAGAAAGATGTATGTTGTTCTGGAAGGATGATGTGACACTTGAGAGCTGCAAGTTCTGTGGTGGAGAGAGATACAAGCCTGTTCCTCATAGACGAAAAAAACCACGAAAAAGGTCTGCATTGTCTAAATTGTTTTACCTCCCTCTAGCTCCACGCCTGAAGAGGATGTATGCTTCAAATGCTACTGCGAAACACATGACGTGGCATGTTGAGCACGAAACCAAAGAGAGTTTGATGTCTCACCCTTCCGACTGTGAAGCTTGGAGACACTTTGACCGTTGTCATCCTCAGTTTGCAATGGAGCCACGGAATGTGCGACTGGGAATGTGTTCAGACGGATTTGCTGCTTTTGGAAAGTTTGGGAAGAAATTTTCATGTTGGCCAGTCATGCTAACTCCTTACAATCTTCCTCCCGACATGTGCATGAAAAGTCATTTCATCTTTTTAACTTTAATTTGTCTAGGTCCCTCGGATCCCAAAAAAAGGATAGACATCTATCTCCAACCCCTGATCGAGGAGATGAAAGAACTTTGGGCCATTGGGACACCAACTTATGATGTTTCAAGAGATCAAATGTTTATCTTGAAAGCTGCCATCATTTGGACCATTAGCGACTTCCCTGCTTATGGTATGCTTTCAGGATGGAGCACACACGGTCTTATGGGATGTCCGATATGTATGGAGAAATCAGATGCCAATTGGCTCAAATTTAGCGGGAAACCAAGTTACTTTGATTGTCACCGCAAGTTTCTGCCTATGAACTATCGATATTGAAAGGACAAGAAGTCTTTTATTATCGGAAGAGTGGTACGAGTTCCCCCTCCTCCAAGACTTACAGGTGAACAAGTTTTTAACCGGGTTCGACGTTTTCCTACGGTCGTGCAGCAACCCTACGGGGAGCCAAATGGGTATTGTGATACCCATAAGTGGACAAAGAGGAGTATATTTTGGGAGTTGCCGTATTGGAAAGACCTTCTCATTCGTAACAATTTAGATGTCATGCACGTTGAGAAGAACATCTTTGACAATATATTTAACACGGTTATAGATTTTACCCACAAAACCAAAGATGGTCTTGCATCTAGAAAAGACATGACAATTTGGTGCGACAGACCCGAACTCGCCGTCGATCTAGAATATGTGGGTAAACAAATTCCAAGAGCAGTCTACCAACTCACAGCCCCACAAAGGGAATCAATATTAGAGTGGCTTGTTTCTCTAAACTTTCCAGATGGCTATTGTTCTAACTTGTCAAGATGCGTGGACCTGGACAAACAAACAATGACGTCGAGCATGAAAACTCATGATGCTCATGTAATCATGCAACGTCTTCTGCCGATTGCACTGAAAGAGATGCTTCCTGCAGACGTCTGGGGCTGTATTACCGAAATCAGTCAATTGTTTCAGTCGATATGTTCCACCGTTTTGGATGCCGAATCACTTAGGAGACTAGAAGACACTGTTCCTATTCTGATCTGTAATCTGGAAAATTTTTGAATTTTGTCACGGATTTGTCACGGATGGATCCGTGACAAATCGGTCAACCTGCCGTTCTGCTACCTCGTCTGCCGTTCCCTGCCGCCTCGACTGCCGTCCCGCAGTTTTCAATTTCCGATGATTTTGTCACGGATTAATCCGTGACAAATTCAAAATTCGTAACTACGTTGTCACGGGCGTTGTCACGGATGGGTCTGTGACAATCCCTAATATATAAAGAACACTTTGCCATTTTTTTCCTTACGCTCCCAATTCAATTCAGCAAACCCTAACTCTCTCCCCTCCCAAACGCACTTCTGCCTCTCTTACACCCGCCGACCGCCACCCCTTACTGCCTTCTCTTACACCACCGACCGCCGCCGCACACATCTCTCCGGCCACCGCGGATCATCCTCGCCTCTGCCGCCGTCCTTCGAAGCCGACCTTCACTCCTTTCCCTTTCTTGCCTTCTTCTCCTTCATTGAGGTTATGTTTCTAACTCTTTAATTTCCGAATATTTTATAATAAATGTTTTAAAATGCCAAAAATAAAATGCATGTTTTTCTTAATATTGTTTAATTGTTTAATTTAATGTTTATATGTTAATAAGTTATCATGCATTGAATATGTTTATATCTTCATATCTCATATACGTTCTATATGTTTATGTGCTTACATACTCAAATATTTCCACATACTTAAATTATTGGAAATGATTTAAAATGATACTGTTTGTAATATTATACACTCAAATGCATGTTCTACTTCTTTGAAAATGCATGCTAAAAGTATTTATGTTTCAATGATTTGTTCGTATATTCATATGCATTCATTTTTTATGTGTTTATATGATTATATCTTCATATGCATGTTTTCTCTCGTAATTTAAAAATGCATGCTCTAGATTTATTGTTTCATGATTTGTGTATATCATTTGTTTATATGCTTAACAATGTTCTCTCTTAAATTAAAAATGCATGCCTTAGATTTTGTATGTTTTTGAGTTTTTCGGATATTTATTAAGAATAGTAAAATATTAAATATTTTTAAGAATAATAATTTCAACTCCACAAATTTTCGCCTCCTCATGTTATACTTTCAAAAAAGTTAACATGTCTAACCCAACAAAATCATGAAACTGTTAATTATTTTTTTTATGTTTTTTCGGAGATTACTATCTATTGTTATAAAACTTGATAAAAACTGATTTTTAAATATTTTCGGATAATATAATATTTTATTTTAAATAAAACGTCGTTTCCTAAAAAACATAAAAAACGTCGTTTCTTTAAATTGTTGATAAGCTTGATAAGTAAATACGAAATAACTGATATAATACAGAAATTAATAATAGGTAAAAAACAGAAATTAAGTAAAAAATGTATTTTATGGATTAAAACAGAAATAAAAAAACTAAACAAACTATTTTTGTTTATATAATACAAAAATGATTTCATATGTTTCATGAAAAATTGATATTATAGGTTTTATGAATAAACAAAAAATGAAACTGATTTTATAGATTTTATGAAAAAATTGATTTTATAGATTTCAAAAATCAATTTTTTCATGAAACATATGAAATCATTTTTGTATTATATAAACAAAAACTGATTTTTTAATTCAAAAACTGAGTTTTTACAAAATCAGAAAACTGTTTTTATAAATTAATACAAAATACAAGGTGTAATAAACTGTATTTTTGTAAATTAATACAAAAAACTGATTACCTCCATAACATATAAATCATACAAAAAACTGATTCGACCCCTCATATTAAACTCAAGTTTAATATGTTCTATACTTCAAAGTTTTATACCACACAAAAACACCATAAAATAATTTTATAAGGTTTGATAAAATAATACCTAACACTATTAAATTCAATAACATAAAAATCATACAAAAAACTCATTCTACCCCTCATATTAAACTCAAGTTTAATATGTTCTATATTCCAAAGTTTGATAAATACCTAACACAATTAAATTCAATAACATAAAAATCATACAAAAAACTCATTCTACCCCTCATATTAAACTCAAGTTTAATATGTTCTATATTTCAAAGTTTGATAAATAAATAGGAAACTGATTAAGTTTAAACCATTATACCACACAAAAACTCCATAAACTGATTTTATAAGGTTTGATAAAATAATACCTAACCCAATTAAATTCCATAACATAAAAATCAAACAAAAAACTCATTCGACCTCTCATATTAAACACAAGTTTAATATGTTCTATATATTATTTCTCAATAATTTTAGATGAGTGAGCACGAATGACACCTTTCCACCATTGCTCGTCGTGGGCGCCAGAATTCACGACGGGTCTCAAACGCTGATCGTGATATCAATGATGATATCAATACCGATGAGGGACATGCTCATGACGGACATGTCCAAACTCCTCCCTCTGAACAATCAGACGCTCATATCAGCGTGCATGGGGAGGGGACATCAACCTCTCATGCACCTCCTCCATCTCGTGCAATAAATGCCCCTCCCCACTCAAGAAGAGCGCCACAATCCCGGTTTGCTTGAGGTGATACCTCAATCAATCCATACGTAATAAAAAACTAACACTGTCTAATATAAAATAGTATAATCTCTACATCTAAGAATTAATACAATTGTTTTTATCAATTATCAATTTTTTTTGAAGCGATCCCGAGGTCTTGAATAGAATCAAGGATATTGTTAGTGGTCATTTCACGGGGCCTTGGTCGACTTATGGTGAGGTTTCGGCGGCCACTCGTGAACTATGGTAGCGGTTGTTCAAGGTAAAAATAAATTTTTTTGTTATATTTTAATAACTTAAATTTAACAAATGATATATCAATGTTTTTAATGAAGGCTTCTCATCGGTAGCATTTTTGCCCTAGACCAAGCTATTCTCAAAGAATACAATTCTAGGATTTCTGGGTGGTTGAGACCCACTTTTAGGACCGCCCGGTCTACCGGTCGAAAGCCAAGATTTCTTGGCGATGATGTGTGGGAGATGCTTTGCCGCCATGGGGCTACGGATCCCGCATTTTTGCTGAGAAGCGAAACAGCCAAGGCAAACCGGAACTCGGAAAAAGCCAAGGAAGTTCAATGGCACGGGGGCCGCAAACTCCAAATTCAAAATAAAAAAGATCTGGTAAACTCTAATTAGTTAAAATTATTTCCATTCCATTCCCTTATGTATATATATTTTTTTATTAACTTTGAAATCCGTGTAGGAAGGATCTGCACCCGTGAAAAAACGGGTCACGCCATTGAAACTCATGGCACATTGTTGGACGAAGAAGGGTGCCATGCCGCCTCCCTGCCTTTCTGAAATTGAAGTAAATAATGAAACTTCAATAATTCAATAAATTTTGATTTTTTTTTTAATCTCTTATATAATATTTTTTTGAACTTGTAGAAAAAAATATGAGGAAGAGCGGGGGAAGAGAGTTGATGAGCTAGGTGATTCTGATGCCGAACTTGATGTAAATCAAGAATATGAGGCCATCTTGGCGGCAACCGGAGTTTACAAGGGCCGGGTGCCGCTTATGGGTTCTGAAGGCTTACGGATCCTGGAGAAGTCCAAAGGAGCTAGCTCATCTTCTCATTCGGCGTATGATGATCGGGTTACCCTTCTCGAGAAACTATTGGAGGAACGTGAAACAGAGGCTCGAAGGCGGGATGAAGAAGCTCAGATACGGGATAAAGAGGCAAGAAGAACGAGAGAAAGGTTGGAAGAGATGGAACGACAAATGCGTGTGTTCAACACCACCTACCGCCCATCCATGCACATACAGCACCCCGAGATGACTCCACAAATTCCCTTCACGGGCAATATGGGCAGTATGGGCAGTAGGGGTTTTGCTAATTATAGTCATATCTCCAACAATTTTCCATATGGATATTATGATGATACCCCTTTATCGACTCCCGGAGCTCAAGCATACCGTGGCAGCAGCCGGGCTGGCAGTCGTGGTGGCAGTCGAGGCAGCCATCGTGGCGGCAGCCGTGGCCACGGAAGGCAACCCGATCATCGTGAGGAACCTAATGATGATGATGATGATTATGATGACCATTGATGGTTTGTAATAACTAGTTTATTGACATTTTAAGGAATTTTAAATTTTGATGGTTATGTATGAATATTAATTATTTGTGTTATATAATGATGGTTTGATTGGTTTATTATTTATTATGATAAATAATGTTTAATGGTGATTAATGATGATTAATGATGATTGTTTAATTATTTATGATAAACAATTATTTATTAAGATTAATGATGATTGTTTAACTATTTATTAAAAACAATGTTTATTAAGTTTAAATTTTTTAAAAAGCGCCTAAATTTTAATGATTATTATTTATTAAATAAACTTTTGAAATCCGTGACAAAAAATCCGTGACAAAAAATCATGTGTCACGGATTTGATGTCACGCCCCTGATGTCACGGATTTTTTCCGTGACAAATCCGTGACAAAAAATCATTTGTCACGGATTTTATGAACTACCGTCTGTGACAAAATCCGTGACAAAGAGCGAGTTTTTTGTAGTGTTAACGACAAACTTTTGAGCCTATAACGACTATATTTTTCATTGTTAAAATTCCTTTTTCTAGTAGTGTCTTTTGGATAAAAAATTATAGAGAAAAGTACAAAATCAACCCTCAAAGTGACACCAATAGTACACATTATCTCCTAAATTAAAAAACCTCTAATCAAATTCTCCAAGTCGGCGATAAATTGCAAATCACCCTTAAATTTAAACAAAATCAGCTATACACAAATCAACGTACACTCATGCACAAAATATATAGAACATCTAATAAAAAGGCAGCCAAATTATTTGTATTGACCCAGCACAATATATATAGCACAATATAATGATGGGAAACGTACCCTACGACTTGCTTATTCAGTAACTCGGAAATTTTTCCATAAACTAGTAAAAAACTTGTTTTTAGTAGCTACGGACTATTAAAAGATTGTGCAACATGCATGAATAATTTCCAACTTATAGTTTTTCAAAAAAAAAATCCAACTTAGGTTTTTTTTTATTTAAAATCCAACTTAGTACTTGCTTATAACTAAATTAAAATTTCTATATTAAGAAACCTAACTGAAAAACTAATTTAAGTGATCTATTTCCCACTAAGTAAGGATCTAGGTGAATCATGCATGATGAGAAGGGCGGTGAAGCCTGGGTCGTCCAATAAGGCCTGTAACTTTTTTTACTTTTCTATACTTGGAATATTCCTTTATCAGCTACTAGCATCACTTACTGCTGCAGTATCTATATATGTAGTATATATACTATGAACGAGTATATGCTTTGTATATCAGCAAGAAAAGCAAACAAGCTAATTGAGCCATACATATAAATCCATACTATACAGATACAAACCAATTGCAGTAATATATTGATCAATTCAATGGCTGAAGTTTATAACAACTTAAAGCTCGCTGCATCTTGCGCTATCATTTTGGCATTTGTTTTCTCCTGTGGTGTTCAAACAACAGTGGCAAGTAGAGCTTTAACCTATGGAGATGATTTCAGGCCGACTGACCCCGGTCACAGTCCTGGCGCCGGTCACTCAACCCAACCCCGTGCTTCGCGCGCTTTTGACACATTTTCACATGTGAATGATTTCAGACCGACTTACCCCGATCACAGTCCCGGCATCGGTCACTCAACCCCACCCCCTGCTCCGCTCGCTTTTGCCACATTTTCACATGTGAATGATTTCAGACCGACTGACCCTGGTCACAGTCCTGGCGCCGGTCACTCAACTCGACCCCGTGCTTCGCGCGCTTTTGACACATTTTCACATGTGAATGATTTCAGACCGACTGACCCTGGTCACAGTCCTGGCGCCGGTCACTCAACCCGACCCCGTGCTTCACACGCTTTTGACACATTTTCACATGTGAATGATTTCAGACCGACTGACCCAGGTCATAGTCCTGGCGCCGGTCACTCAACCCCACGCCGTGCTTCGCGCGCTTTTGACACATTTTCACACGTGAATGATTTCAGACCGACTGACCCCGATCACAGTCCCGGCATCGGTCACTCAACCCCACCCCCTGCTCCGCTCGCTTTTGCCACGTTTTCACATGTGAATGATTTCAGACCGACTGACCCTGGTCACAGTCCTGGCGTCGGTCACTCAACCCCACCCCATGCTTCGCGTGCTTTTGCCCGATTGTCACATGCGAATGATTTCAAATCAAGTGACCCCGGTCACATTCATGGCGTCGCTCACTGAATCCCACTGCCCCAATTCAAAGTTCCGGTGTTGCTCACGTACTGAAAATTTTCTCATGCACGTTACTTTCCTTATCTAAATTAAAGCCAATTATTACTATTACATACGTAGTACTACGTATAAATAAATTATTAAGAAGTTCGATTGCTTAAATTAAATACTCCAGTACATAATAATGTATGGGTAGGGCTAAATACCCCGGTTAGGTTTCAATTGATTTGTCTTGACGCAAGCTATGTCTTGCGCATGCAACGTTTATCTCGTGATCTCACCGTATTTATTCTTCGATTCATGATATGTCATGATTTATGTTTCTACTAGTATAGTGTTATATGTCCAATCCTCAATTTTAATGTATAGTGTAACATGTGTTCAACATAACTACAAAAGTATCTATGAAATGTGTATTTTATTTTAGGAGCTATATACTACGGAGTATAACATATATTCCCTCCGTCCCCCAATTAAGTTCCCGGTTTGACTTCACACGTATTAAGAAAATAAATTTGACTTTACTGTGAAGTGCACTGTTTTGCACCGTTCAAACACTGTTTGACACTGTTTGGCACTGTTTTGCACTGTTTGACACTGTTTTGATGTAGATAATTTACCAAATAAGGAAGGTAAAGAAGTGTGAACTTAATTTAGGGATTGTCCAAAAAGGAAAGTGGTAATTTAATTGAAGGACGGAGGGAGTATTAATTTTCACAAATAATGAGATGTGAATTGGATGGTGTTATATATGATAAAATACTATAAACAATGATAAAGTAATTGAGGCATCAATATTATTAGTGTGCTAGTATACATTTAAATAAACAAATTAAATATAACAGGCCGGTGTTTAGTAGCCTCGGTATATTTGGCAAATATCAAGGCAATTTTGAAAAGAAAAGGTAAAAAATTCATTATACAATTCTTTTGGAGTTGGAACATTGGTTCTCCAAAAGATGTTTTTATTTCGGAAGAGGGGGCTTACATTGATATCATAGCATTACCATTCAAAAAGGAGTTAAAATGATATAGAGACCACATGTCACATGTGACGGCACTAAAGTCGTTGTATACCTCAAAATAACACTAGTATTCAATAAAACACTTATACGTAGTATAGTGAAGTAAGGATCTTATCCACATGGAAAGTAATATTTTTCTTTTAATTGAATTGTGACAAGGGGTTTTTTAAGGTTGATTTGATTTAATTAATTTAACAATAAGATGAATGACTTATGTGGTTTAATAAAAGGGAAAAATAAGGATATATTACTAAAAGAGCCGCACTTTCCCATAATATGACTTAAAAAGTTCATTGACCATTATATGACTATAAACTGCTCTATACTTGTACTGATTATTTAAAATTAGAGAGAAAATGACTACAATGTCCATAGTCAGCCATTTGGGAAGAGTTTGATTACTTAAGGCAAGTAAATGTGATTTTCATGGATTATTAGTGATTAATAATGCCTAAATGAAAATACTATTGCATATGAGTAAATGAAACATGATATACAAATTTAAAAGAGATTGTGTATGATTGTGTATTATGAATATGATAGCATGATAATGAAATTAATTGTGAAATATTGTGATAAAATATACTTGTACTTCATGTAAAGAAATCATGAATGGATAAAAGTGATATTTTTGATATTGGGGTTAAATCATATTTGGATTGGAAAATCAATTGAGATGAGCAATATGACTATGAATTAAGAACTTGGTTGTTCTAAGATTACTTGACTAGTATTGAAAAACTAGTTGGAATGTTAGCATGAAAAATGATAGAATAAATCATATGGGTTTGGATTGTGAAAGATATACCTTAAGTAGTCTTAAGAGATACTTTATTACTTTAAGGTAGGAATGTGTAAATGCTAAGTTAAGCTGAGGGTGGGCCTTAAAGGCCACTCAATATGAAGTGATCCTAGGCATAGAAGTTGCTTAGGAATGTGATAATATGACTAGAGGGAGTCTCTAGCATATTGAATGGTGACTAGAGGAAGCCTCTAGCATAACGGAGAGTGACTAGAGGGATCCTCTAGCACGACGGGAAATAACTAGAGGAAGCCTCTAGCATAATGTAGAGTGACTAGAGGAAGCCTCTAGCACGAAATGGAGTGACTAGAGTCAGCCTCTAGCATGACGAAATGATATTAGTGAGTGTGACTCTACCATGGTGAAAAGACGTGATAAGGTAAGCATGGGCCCATGAGCCGACTACTTGACCATATATATAAGGTAAGTAGGTTTTAAATAGAGTAACCGAGGGTTACGACCTATAATATAATATCACCCTAGATTGAGGGTCTTAGAAATTGAAACATTGATTATATACAGTGTAGTTGTCATTGTACTTTTCAAATGCTTCAAAGTATTGACCTCCCCTTCACAGGGGATGTCACCTCACAGTTTCAGGTAGAACTTGAAGGTTGCTACCACCACCCGTTGCTTCGGGGAGATCAAAGGAAGAAGACTTGGTTCGTGCTTCTTGCGTTTATGTTTTGAAAACAATATGAATAATGCTCATGGATATTATTTTTGAATAATTATTTGAGGGCTTGTATGTCTAAGATTGCCAAGTGTGGCTTGAACACTTGTATTAGTGTTTCCGGTGTTTTAATGAATGTTTTACATTATGTTTGTTTATGGATGTACTGTGACACCCCAAAAATTTAAAAATAAAAATAAAACAAATACTAGTATGATTTATTTAGCTGATAATGATATATCAGATATAATCTAGCTGATAAGAATAAATTTGATACAAGTTATTTGACAAAAAAAAATGTTAAAAGATGAATAAAACTAAACTTAGATGTAAGAAAATTCA